TATGATGAACAAAGGTGCCCCTTCCAATATATAGTGAAATTGCATTAATTCTTTGAAAATCTTCTCTGCTCCTGGGTATTTAGCAGATAAACTAAGTACATGGTTATAATGATCGAGGGTGCCTTTTCCAAAATTGTGAAAATTGTGGTCCCAGGGTCAAGGGTTCATGTTGGTGTGAGGGTGGGGAGGTGTCAATTTAATATATAGTGGAAATGCATTTATATTTTTTGGAAAATCTTCTTTTCCGCCACCGGGTATTTAACAGAAAAACTAATTGCATGGTTATGATGAGCAAGAAAATCTTAAAAAAAAAAAAAAATGAAATTCATAACCCCGGCGGCAGGAATTTTGGTGTTAAGTTGAGGCTCTTTTGAATGTATAGTAGAAATGCATTATTTGTTTGAAAATCTTTTATGCTCATTGTTATTAAGGAAACATACCAAATGCATGGTTATGATGAGCAAGAGTGCCTCTTCCAAAATTGTGAATATCTTGGCCCCTGGGTCAGGGGGATTGGTATTAGGGTGGGGCTATATTGAATCTATAGTGAAAATGGATTATTTCCTTGAAAATCTTCAAATAGAGTATATAAAGTTGTAATAAGCAAGGGTGTTTTTACCAGATTTTGAAATTCTGTACCCTTTGGTCAATTTAATAATTTCTACTGAAAAAAGTTATTCCCCTTTGCTATTCACCTGTAATAGTTAATCACTGTAAATAATGTAACTTAAAAGGTCAATTGAATAACAGAATTATACAAGAAATTTTATAATATTTAATACAAAATTACTTTCATAGTTTTTAATGGTCAAGTAAACTTTTGAATAATAGATAAATGAAAATGGTACAAAAATACCAAATCTTTGTACAATAGATAATCTTTAAAGGCCAAGATAGGCCAATACGAGGGGGAATGAAATGTGTTAACTAATAGTGCAGTTTTGATTAGTCTGCATGAGGATAGTGACAAATGGGGGAAAGTACAGGCAATTAGATCAACTTTAAGATTTGTTATTGAGTACTAAATTAATATTTTGCTGATCCCTGATTATCCTTTTTCTCTTGTTTTTGGGCAACATACCTTTATCAGCTTATTCTGTTTTAATCTATGGATCGTTACATTATACTCAGGAGACCGTTAAGGCCCTTGGGCCTCTTATATAATTTTACACCCTGAAGCCTAAACATTGGACCCAGGAAGCATCAGTTTTATAATTTTGTTAAATAGTCAAGTATTTGTTAAAACCATGCAAACAGTTTGCCTTCACATGTCAATAAGTAAAGAAAATTATCAAAGTTGTATATATATGTGTATTTTAATATATGACAAAATTATCACAACCAGGGCCTAAACCATGTTCAAATGAGTCATGAGTTTCACAATTTTGGTAGATGGTCAAGTGTTAATTATAATCACTTAAACAGTTTGTCTAAGATGTCCATGAATAAAAATATGATTTTCAAAGGTGTCATTATTTTCAGTATGAACAGGTTAGTCCCATACTGGGCCTAAAATAACGCTGGATTCAGGTACACTAATTTTTACAATTTTGGTCAAGGGTTATTCACTCATTGTAATCTTACAATCACTTCCCCGGTAGAGCTTCTTTAGAAACTAACATTTTCAAAGAATAGATGTAATGAATTTTCAATATATGATTACTTATACCCACCCAGAAGCAACGAATTTTACAATTTTGGTAGATTGATAAGAGTATATCATAAGCAAGTTTACCTGCTTAATGTCCATGAGTATAGAGAAAATGGTTTTCAAAGACATAATGCATGTACAACAATACGTGACCAACATACACAGCCCTAAGGTCTGAAACATGGATCCAGGAAGGCAGAGGTAAAGAAATGCACTACAGTGTATTTCTTTTTTTTTTTTCACCCATAGATGCTATGTACCGAAATTGAATGAAATTGCTTCAGTGGTACCAGAGAAGGAGCTGAAAATGTTCAAAAGTCTTCGACCGACGCACGGCGTAAGAACCGCAGTAGAATAGATATATAGCAATAGGATACCTGAGTGATTCAGATGACCTTTTAGTGTTCTAAGGAAAAAAAATCTAATGCTGAATTTCATTTATTTTTAACTAATAATTGCGCGCAAGTTAAATCTGTTTCTATATAAGAATAACTTTTCTTGTACATAATTAGTCTAGTGGTAGGGCGTTCGCTTCGTGATCGGGAGGCCCAGGTTCGAGTCTTCGCCGCACCGCGTCAAACCTAAGGCGTAAATATAGGTAGTGACTGTTCCTTCGCCAAGCCCCAGGCACTAGAAGTGAAAGTCAAGGGTCTTTCGGATGAGACCTTAAAAACCGATGTACCGTGTTACGGTAGACGTTGGCACGATAAAGAACGTACCCTGTGACAATGGCCTTGAGTGCCGAGTTTAGGTATAAAGAAGCCCTTCACCGCGCATACGGTGACGTCTCTATATAAGTGAAAAATTCTCGAACTGGACGTTAAGCAACATACAATCAATCTAGTACATACTACTGTGTGAACTGTTTCGCATCATCGAAAAATTATCCAGCTTAAGGACATACGCAACGTACCTTACCTACTGATAATTTTTCAAGATATTCTTAATTTAAGATCATAGTGCCATCAGATGTTCGTCGACAAAAAATCAGCATGCATTACCAGGGGTTTTGAAAAGATATCAATTGATGAAAATTCTTGTATAATTCAAAGAAAAATACACAAAAATTACTAAACACATATACTAGTTGTTTTGTTTATCCAAACTTGTTTTAGAAGAAGTGTACAACAGCATATATAGACTTACAAATGTAGCACACAATTCCTTTAAGTATTGGAACTCTTCAACTCCAGGGAAAAAGACAATAAAGTTCAAACTACGTTGCGTATGTCCTTAATGTGTGAAGTACTGATCGGAATTTATTTGATACACTGATCTGAAAGAACACATTAACCCTGAAGTTTAATGGCTTTGTAGGCCAGAATTTGTACAAAACACAGCGATAAGACTCTTAATGTGTTATCAGCGAACAAAATTTCTGCCTAAATCGTTCTGCAGGTGAGTATGAGAACTTTTGGTTGACAGTTAATCAACAGTATAACCAAAGATTTATCTACATGAAACAATATTAAACAAAACTTGTTTTCGCCTGAAATATCGTCATATATTACATTTTTAACAATGTAATACTATAATCAGATCGATATTTTCACAGGTATTATTTTCACACTGTGAAGATAACACGTTTGCGGCGTAAACTCTGAACTCTGAATTTTCCTTCCCTTCAAAATACACCATTCTAACACTGACTAAAACAGCCAAACTTTCTCCAAACTGTTGTTAAAATTTATGCTTACCATTTCCAATCTAAGAACTGCTTGCCAATGACCCACTGCGTTACAAAGACAGAGCTAATAAACAGAAAATTCAATGTTTTGTATATATGTAAGTAAACTTATGTCACTCGTGATATAGGAAATATCAAAAGTACTTCGCACTCGTGAAAATAAATGTCTGTCCCATTCCTGGAATAAATTCCATATCCAAATACAAAACATAGTAAAATAAAGTAGTTTTAAGTGTGTAAAATATTGCATTAAGGATGACATTTACTCGGGGTTTTAGTTGAAAGAAACAGAATGCTATAAAGTAGAAAATAAAGTTAAATTAAAAATTGTTCTTAATGTACAAAATAACCAGATATTTTTTTTTCAATTCTATACCATAATAGCAACGAAGACTTTGAATTTTTGCATTGATCTGAGTTTCTGAAACAAAAGAAAGAAATCAACGACATGTGAATACTTCGTAATATACAAATATGTCTGTATGTGAACCTGTTCTTTACAACATTCTGTAATGCTAAGTTAGTACCTGTTTATGGCAATAAATTTTAATAGGGAAATTTTGCATATTTTTTTGTAAAAAATGTTATACATGATTCTACTGAATCAACCATCTTTGGAAGTTAACAGTTTGCACCCCCCCCCCCCCCAATGAAAAAGCTTAAGAAAATGCTGGAAATTTGGTAAGGCGAGGCTCAGGTGATTAAATTTATTTTGCAGTTTACAGTGTAACAAACAAAAGTCATTCGACAATCGTATGCTACTATTATTTAATAATTACCATCACGTCGACCAAAAAAGTGGGGAAGGGGGCACAGTCGGGGAATATCAGAGTCAAAGACTTTTGTCAAGTACCGAAAAAGTATACGATCTTTCACCACTGGTACATGTAACAAGCCGTTTAGAGTCCAGAACAAGCCTGGGATCAGAGAAATAGACCCATGAGAGTATGTATTTCTAGGCTGATGATCAACATTCTCTTAACAAAAAAGACGGGAATTCATTCCACTTCTTTATTGGCGTACCAGAACATTATCTTTTCAGTAATGTTGATGACGATTCTATGCTTCCTTTGTGAAGATACTCAGGTTACATACAAGCAATGGAGAAAGGCATTGATACATGCAAAACTAATCTGAAATGTTCATTCCAATCAAGCATCTAAATGTTTCAAAACAATCTTAGGATTGTAATGAAAAACATGACTAAACATTTTTACATCTAAGTATTTTTTTTAACTTCATTTCATTGACAAAGAGACATTTAGGGTTTTTTTTAATGTATAGACAAATACATCAGTCTACATTTCCTCCCTAAAACATTTAGTAAAAGATAGTAACCAGATATTTGAAGCAATTTAAAAGGCCAAAGTAGCCTCCTTAATCTTTCACCTATTCGATCTATATTTCAATATATTGCATAATAACGGAAAAATACTTAACCGTGATTATCCACGGTGCTGATTGTCCGGAAACAATCTTCATATATCAAAGATAGTTATGGTTGTGCCTTTTATAATAGGTCGTATCTTTGATTTAAAGACTGAATGCAAATCCGTAAAGCATATTCGACATTGGATATTACCCACCTAGCAGTTCTGGCTTAGGTTTCTCTGTTTTATCTGTGATTCAAGTTTGCTTTATTTGCTTTAACATTAGGGCCTAATGACGTGTAGCAGTCTTTGCCTAATTGTTTCATTGGTTGTTGCATTTGTTCTCCGTGTGGTTTGGACTGAAGATGACGTCATAAGAGGAACATACCATGCCTGGTGGGTAATTCTCCCCATACCTACCAGCGCTGTACGCAGCATGATAGAGCGTAAGTAACTACAGTAGACCAGGAAACATTAGTAATAATTCTGAGATATCAATTTCAGGACCGAAACTATGGGAAAATATTGCAACCATAAATCTTATCAAGTACATGAAACCTAACCTTATGATTATGCTTTTCATAGCAGAGATCGTAAAATGATTCTACAAATTATAAAACACGTAGAGATGTTGTAATCCATAAGTCATTGACAATTCATGATGGAGCTATTCATTTATCATTTAAATAAGATGTTCGAATACTTAACACTGGTCACACTTCTCATTTCATTAAGGACTGTAACCCTCAGTGTAATTGCTCCATATTTTGTATTATATGAATTGTTACATGTAAAATGTCTGAAATGATTCCAGGAACCAGAATGTATGAAAAAAAAAATCATTCGAAATTTTTTTACTTCCATTTTTTTACCTTAAATCCCCCCTCTCTCTTTCTCTCTCTCTCTTCTATTACCAAGTTTTCAAGTATAATTATACGCTGACAAAGAATGTCGACTTGTCACAAACACCGTGAGCCTTCTGTATTGATCAGGTTAATAGAGTAAACAGTAGCCATAATGGTAAGAAAACAATGGCCTAACAATTTATTGGAAACATGTCCTTCAAAATTCGACCAAAAGACAGATTGTATTTGCAAACAAGGTCATTATAACGACTATAAAATTTGCGAACTGCTGACTTTAAACAGGATACTTGAAAATCCCGTAATATCAACTTATTTACCAGTACCCTGCTCATCTTTAATCAAAGTCGATTTAAAAAAATTATACTATAGTCTGTCCCACCAAGCTACTGTCACCACTTTTTGCAACATATCTCAAAATATATTAATACCTTGGCCTTCAACCTAGGTTCGAGAGATAGATCATTTTTTTCCAAATTTCCTGCATTTATCCGAACCCTCGAGTTCAACCGGTGTATTGAAACGGGGGCAAATTCAAAGTCTACGGGGATTTAACATGGTAAACTCGTCCATTTGCGTCAAGATCACGGGGCAGGAAACCAGTTTATCGAGGGAGTAGTCGTTCTTTCAAAATTAAAATTACAAAAAATCCTAAAAATTCAACGAAAGCAATTCAGTGTGTTTTGGTAAAAAATATAAGTATTGTTTTGCATTCAAATATGTTTGACGAGTTTTCTAATAAACTGAGAGAAAAATAATCCGAATTCAATGCAGTACAAGTTGTGGATAACGCACTGCTCTAGAAAGGGGATGTTGACATGATGTGTAATTTACAGCTTCCTTCGATGAAAACGTAAGTTTTTTTTTTTTACTTCTGAAAGTACACCCACAAAAGAAGTGTTTTCAAGTGTAATGATTTGTCAAAATCAAGCATTATTCGGCGAAAGCGCACAATGCATATCTGCACAGTAGGCCTAGTGGGGGAAAACGAAAACTTTCAGTAGATCTATAATGGTAATGACTTTTTTTGTAAGAAGCTTAAGATTTTTAATATTTTATATGATAGGTCTACTTTCTCTTTCAGTCACAGGGAACATATCTAAAACGCAACAGTTGGTCCACAGAATTCATTGTAAACAATCCTTTCACCTGATGAATAAAATGTCAAATTTCCCCCTTTTAGTTACAGAAAATTTTCGATTAAATATACATTAAGTTGAGGATAAAGAATGCTGCATTTTATTCTAAAATAAAGGAACTTAGATTAGCTCTCAGAATGCAAATTATTACGTTAATCCTAAACTTTCCAGGGGAGGGGGCATGCCCCAAATACTCCCATTTTGAAATATTCACACTTCCAGTACTAACTTGGCAGTTACATTTCATCCCTTCATGTGAAAGGCAGTGTGATTTTTTTTTTTTTTTTGGTTGTTCTCCCCCCTCTTTGTCACTAACAAGTTTTTGTTAAGTTGGAATTCATAATATGGTAACGCTGCAAGTTTCCCTGGTATACAACCCTTGAGATTTCTTTTTTTTTTTCTTTCACCAGTATTGTAAAAAAAAAACTTTATTATTTTTTTTTTTGGGGGGGGGGGGTATTTCTTTAAAGTTCATAATTTGAAATTCATTGACTTACATCTACCCCATAGCTAACCCATTTTGTTCAAACAATAAAGAAAGAGAGCATACAGGACAATCTTCTGCTGTGAGATATATTACAATTTTCAAAGTTCAAGGAAGAGTTACATTTATAAAAAAAAAAAGTGTTAGTAATGTCAATGGCAAACTTAAATTTTCACTACCTCAGGATACTTCCATATCAATATTACTAATCATGGATTTGCTGTTCTTTAACAGGAGAATTTTAAAGACCCCCCCCCCCCCCATGTATTCCTATGTAAAACGCTCATCGCTCATTGTGGCCCAGGGTTAGAAACTCCCTAAAATTACAACTCGCAAATAATTGCGAGTACCAACAAAGTGAACTCGCAATTTTATAAGACTACTCGCAATTTTCATATAAAGTTAAATTTATATAAATTAAATACATGTAACTTAAGGAAAAAGTAACTACTGAACAATACACAAAATACAACTACAGTGTGACTTTTATTTAAATTACTGATTTAAATCAAAAGTATTGTGTTCTGTCACATTATATATTTTTGCTACAGTTTCAATGCAAAAAAAAAAAAATCAACTCACAAGATTTTGTGAGTTACCTAATTTTCAACTCACAATTTGGGAATTCTAACTTGTGTTTTGCGAGTTGTTTATAGTGAATTTCGAACCCTGGTGGCCCCACCCTACCCATCCTAAAATTGAACAAATTTGAATCTACACTACCTGAGGATGCTTCTATAATAACATGACTAATCATGGCTTTGCTGTTCTAGAACAGAAGATTTTTTTCAAGATGATTCCTATATATTCTTATGCGAAACTTTGACCCTCTGTTGTGTCCCCACCCCCCTAATTTGAACAAACTTGAATCTACACTACCCGAGGGTAACTTGATTCTACATTACCCAAGGTTGCTTCTGAATTAATATGACTAATAGTGGCAAAGCTGTTCTCGAGAAGAAGATTTTTAAAGACATTTCCCATATATTCCTACATAAAACTTCACCCCCCTCTTGTGCCCCCCCCCCCCCGGGGTTATGATATGAATAAACTTGATTGTACATGTAATGTAATTTGTAATGAAGCTTTTACATAATTTTCATCTTTTCTTGCCTAGCTAGTGGTTCTTGAGAAGATTTTTAAAGATGCCACTAAATTTTCATGAACTCTTCATTATCTCTCCTTGAAAGAAGGCATGGCACTTCCTGTGAACAAACTTAAATCCCCTTCACCCAAGGGTGCTTTGTCACATTTGCAGGTTTGTTTTAAATTGGCCCAGCGGTTCTTGAGAAGAAGTCGAAAAAGTTTATAGATGGCAGACGCCGGACACCCTTTGATCAGAAAAGCTCACTTGAGAGCCTTCGGCTCTTTTTTTTTTCTTTCCACATACCTTCATAATTGAAAATAAAAAATACTAATCAATAAGTTATTCAATTAAATAAAAGAAGCAAATGTGTAAAAGATGATATTGACAATACAATTTTTGTGAAATATAACATCATGAACTTAAGAATTAAGAAATGTCTTTTCTTAGAGTGGGGGATTATCCTCGTCTTGTACGCCTCCATTCTTTATGTCCAAAAGAAAAATTTAGCAAAACATTCATTTGTAAAATTAAAGTTATGTACAGTATTCTAGCATACATGTACTAAATAAAAGGCCAGAAAACTGATATGATGCATATTGTATACAGTGTATGAGCACATTGTAATAAAGAAGTAAAGTATACTTGATTATGCCTTTATATTTATTTACATAATTTTTTTTTTTTGAAGGTTAAAATTGGAGTACATTGTTATGATGACCAGACTCGAAGACATTCATGTAATTGAGTGAATCACAGAGTCTCAGGAATCTTCTGGACTAGTAAGTTATACATGTACATGTATATATAAAATATTAAAATGTCTTTACTCTGTCTGAATTGCATACTTCAGGCTGGAATCTGAAAATAAAAATTGTAGTTTCCATATGTATATAATTTATACTACATGTATCTTGGTACATGTAGAATTGAAATTCATTCTTTAATTTCACTTCAATTACTTAACCATAAATTTTCATTCTCAAGAATTTTAATAACATTTAAGATGTGTTTTATTATCTATTTCAGACCAAAAGTGATGGCTGAAACAAATATTAACTGGTAGTCTACTTAGTGATCTGGACACTGGATAAGGCAGAAACCATTTTCAACAGAACTGTTAAGAGTGTAAATAAAAAAAAAAACAAGATACCCACTCTCCAACTCATTCATAGCTTCATTCTTGGCTTCATTGTGTTGAATATGAGTCAAGACTTTTCTATTGTACCAAGGCTGAAGGGACTTTCAAACCATAAACAACATCACCACAGAGCAGTTGACTTTCATTTCTTTTTCTGAATTTGTATGTTATACCCTTAATTATTACAGTGTGAATTTACTTTGCACAGAAGAAGATGTAAATTAGCATAACTTCAACAAGTATTTACTTTGTCAGATTCAGACACATAACTCAATTATTTGGTATTTAAAAAAAAGTAATTGGCAGCATTTACTGTGGAATCATCATTGTTCTTGGGGGAGGATAGGTGGGTCAAACATATCCACTAATTTATATTCCCACAAATACTTATTTTTTCAACTTGTCAATTCATTGAATCTTTAACTTAATGTATTTTATTTTAACCTTAACCTTATTTAAACCTTATGAATTATGTCTGCACAAACCAGTTGAATTAAATGCCTGCCCACTAACAGCTAATTAATGCCCCCCCCCCCCCAATAAAATGATTGCACAGTTTTTCAATTTTCAAAAACTATAGAAGGCCATATACATGTATCTGCCGGTACTTTGGGTGGTTTAATCATCTTTGCTTGTGCTGGTCTGTCTGATGTCTTCATCAGCTAGCTATTCTGTATCCTACAATTAAATTCTTGTTTCCAAATAAAACAGCTGTAAAATGCTTTGTATTATTTA